TTGGTCTTGATGGTGTAACCAACTCCTTGGTCTTGATGGGTAACCAACTCTTTGGTCTTGATGGTGTAACCAACTCTTTGGTCTTGATGGTGTAACCAACTCCTTGGTCTTGACGGTGTAACCAACTCTTTGGTCTTGATGGTGTAACCAACTTTTTGGTCTTGATGGTGTAACCAACTCCTTATAGTCTGGAGACCAGGAGCTGGAGCTTGCTGAAGGATGCGTGAGGTCAGGATACTCTTGTGACCTTCGGATCAGTCAGACTGTTCCTGATTTCTGGCTTTGTAGCGCATTAACGTGATGTATCAGTGAGGGAATCAGTATAGGAGCCGTGAGTAGGGTTCGAACCTGCGCTGTAGGTACTCCCAAGGGTTGGAGGTGAGCTCCTGGGCCCCACAGAGTGTCTCGAGTGCCTGAGTGTGTGTGTAAGCCCTCATCTGGCTTCACTTGAAGCCTCAGGAGCCCCTAGAGGGTTCAGTGGCATCCCAGGTTACAATGCTTGTGACCATGTCGTGGTGTAGTGGTCAGAGGCGTGTGCTAGGAAGTGCTCAGACCATAGGTTCGAATCCTTCTGATAGCTCCTACTACTTTTTTTTTCTTGCGAAACGTTATTGGAAATCGAGATTGTAGTGTTCATTATTTCTCAGCGCTAAATATTGCTCAGTGCTAAATATTGCTCAGTGCTAAATAATTCTCAGTGCTAAATAAATTATATATATAACTGACTTTATATAAAGTCAGTTATATAAAGCCATTATGGTTTACCTTTCGAAATATATATGAGAAAATATTTACTAAACATTATGAGACTGAAGAACCTGTCACGAGCACAGGCTGCCAGACTTCAGAAACCAGTCCATCTTCAGGCCCCGGTACTTCAAGACCTGGCCATCCTAAAATGTTGATTCATCTGTCACGTCTGAAAATGACCTCATACTCCCGCTCCTTGGCCTCATACTCCCGCTCCTTGTCCTCATACTCCGCTCCATGGCCTCATACTCCCGCTCCTTGGCCTCATACTCCCGCTCCTTGGCCTTATACTCCCGTTCCTTGGCCTCATACTCCCGCTCCTTGGCCTCATACTCCCGTTCCTTGGCCTCATACTCCCTCTCCCTGGCCTCATACTCCCGCTCCTTGGCCTCATACTCCCGCTCCTTGGCCTTATACTCCCGTTTCTTGGCCTCATACTCCCGCTCCTTGGCCTCATACTCCGCTCCTTGGCCTCATACTCCGCTCCTTGGCCTCATACTCCGCTCCTTGGCCTCATACTCCGCTCCTTGGCCTCATACTCCCGCTCCTTGGCCTCATACTCCACTCCTTGGCCTCATACTCCGCTCCTTGGCCTCATACTCCCGCTCCTTGGCCTCATACTCCCGCTCCTTGGCCTCATACTCCCGCTCCTTGGCCTCATACTCCCGCTCCTTGGCCTCATACTCCCGCTCCTTGGCCTCATACTCCCGCTCCTTGGACTCATACTCCCGCTCCTTGGCCTCATACTCCCGCTCCTTGGCCTCATACTCCCGCTCCTTGGCCTCATACTCCCGCTCCTTGGCCTCATACTCCGCTCCTTGGCCTTATACTCCCGCTCCTTGGCCTTATACTCCCATTCCTTGGCCTTATACTCCCGCTCCTTGGCCTCATACTCCCGCTCCTTGGCCTCATACTCCCGCTCCTTAGCCTCATACTCAGCTCCTTGGCCTCATACTCCCGCTCCTTGGCCTCATACTCCCGCTCCTTGGCCTCATACTCCCGCTCCTTAGCCTCATACTCAGCTCATTGGCCTCATACTCCCGCTCCTTGGCCTCATACTCCGCTCCTTGACCTCATACCCCCGCTCCTTGGCCTCATACTCCCGCTCCTTGGCCTCATACTCCCGCTCCTTGGCCTCATACTCCGCTCCTTAGCCTCATACTCCCACTCCTTGGCCTCATACTCCGCTCCTTGGCCTCATACTCCCGCTCCTTGACCTCATACTCCGCTCCTTGGCCTCATACTCCCGCTCCTTGGCCTCATACTCCGCTCCTTGGCCTCATACTCCCGCTCCTTGGCCTCATACTCCCGCTCCTTGGCCTCATACTCCGCTCCTTGGCCTCATACTCCGCTCCTTGGCCTCATACTCCGCTCCTTGGCCTCATACTCCCGCTCCTTGGCCTCATACTCCGCTCCTTGGCCTCATACTCCGCTCCTTGGCCTCATACTCCCGCTCCTTGGCCTCATACTCCCGCTCCTTGGCCTCATACTCCCGCTCCTTGGCCTCATACTCCCGCTCCTTGGCCTCATACTCCCGCTCCTTGGCCTCATACTCCCGCTCCTTGGCCTCATACTCCCGCTCCTTGGCCTCATACTCCCGCTCCTTGGCCTCATACTCCCGCTCCTTGGCCTCATACTCCGCTCCTTGGCCTTATACTCCCGCTCCTTGGCCTTATACTCCCATTCCTTGGCCTTATACTCCCGCTCCTTGGCCTCATACTCCCGCTCCTTGGCCTCATACTCCCGCTCCTTAGCCTCATACTCAGCTCCTTGGCCTCATACTCCCGCTCCTTGGCCTCATACTCAGCTCATTGGCCTCATACTCCCGCTCCTTGGCCTCATACTCCGCTCCTTGACCTCATACCCCCGCTCCTTGGCCTCATACTCCCGCTCCTTGGCCTCATACTCCCGCTCCTTGGCCTCATACTCCGCTCCTTGGCCTCATACTCCCCCTCCTTGGCCTCATACTCCGCTCCTTGGCCTCATACTCCCGCTCCTTGACCTCATACTCCGCTCCTTGGCCTCATACTCCCGCTCCTTGGCCTCATACTCCGCTCCTTGGCCTCATACTCCCGCTCCTTGGCCTCATACTCCCGCTCCTTGGCCTCATACTCCGCTCCTTGGCCTCATACTCCGCTCCTTGGCCTCATACTCCGCTCCTTGGCCTCATACTCCCGCTCCTTGGCCTCATACTCCGCTCCTTGGCCTCATACTCCGCTCCTTGGCCTCATACTCCCGCTCCTTGGCCTCATACTCCCGCTCCTTGGCCTCATACTCCCGCTCCTTGGCCTCATACTCCCGCTCCTTGGCCTCATACTCCCGCTCCTTGGCCTCATACTCCGCTCCTTGGCCTCATACTCCCGCTCCTTGGCCTCATACTCCGCTCCTTGGCCTCATACTCCCGCTCCTTGGTCTCATACTCCCATTCCTTGGCCTCATACTCCGCTCCTTGGCCTCATACTCCCGCTCCTTGGCCTCATACTCCGCTCCTTGGCCTCATACTCCGCTCCTTGGCCTCATACTCCCACTCCTTGGCCTCATACTCCGCTCCTTGGCCTCATACTCCCGTATATATAGCAGGTATATTGACCACATCAGCAGGTATATTGAGCACATGAGTGGGTATATTAACCTCATCAGCAGGTATATTGACCACATCAGCAGGTATATTAACCTCATCAGCAGGTATATTGACCACATCAGCAGGTATATTGACCACATCAGCAGGTATATTGACCACATCAGCAGGTATATTGACCACATCAGCGGGTATATTAACCTCATTAGCAGGTATATTGACCACATCAGCAGGTATATTGACCTCATAAGCAGGTATATTGACCTCATCGGCAGGTATATTGACCTCATCTGCAGGTATATTGACCACATCAGCAGGTATATTGACCACAGCTGCTGGAATATTGACCACACCAGCGGGTATATTAACCACATCAGCAGGTATATTGACCACATCAGCAGGTATATTGACCTCATCAGCGGGTATATTGACCACATCAGCAGGTATATTGACCACATCAGATATATTGACCACATCAACAGGAATTATTGACCACATCAGCAGGTATATTGACCACATCAGCGTGTATATTGACCACATCAGCAGGTATATTGACCACATAAGCAGGTATATTGACCACATCAGCAGGTATATTGACCACAGCAGCAGGTATATTGACCACAGCAGCGGGTATATTGACCACATCAGCAGGTATATTGACCACATCAGCAGGTATATTGACCACATCAGCAGGTATATTGACAAACTTCAGCAGGTATATTGACCTCATCAGCGGGTATATTGACCACATCAGCAGGTATATTGACCACTTCAGCAGGTATATTGACCTCATCAGCGGGTATATTGACCACAGCAGCAGGTATATTGACCACATCAGCAGGTATATTGACCACATCAGCAGGTATATTGACCTCATCAGCGGGTATATTGACCTCATCAGCAGGTATATTGATCTCATCAGCAGATATATTGACCACATCAGCAGGTATATTAACCTCATCAGCAGGTATATTGACCTCATCAGCAGGTATATTGACCACATCAGCAGGTATATTGACCACATCAGCAGGTATATTGACCTCATCAGCAGGTATATTGACCACATCAACAGGTATATTGACCATATCAGCAGGTATATTGACCACATCAGCAGGTATATTGACCACATCAGCAGGTATATTGACCTCATCAGCAGGTATATTGACCACATCAACAGGTATATTGACCTCATCAGCAGGTATATTGACCACATCAGCAGGTATATTGACCACATCAGCAGGTATATTGACCATATCAGCAGGTATATCCACCATACCAGCTGGAATATTGACCTCATCAGCAGGTATATTGACCACATCAGCAGGTATATTGACCACATCAGCGGGTATATTGACCACATCAGCAGGTATATTGACCACATCAGCAGGTATATCCACCATACCAGCTGGAATATTGACCACATCAGCAGGTATATTGACCACATCAGCAGGTATATTGACCACATCAGCTGGTATATTGACCACATCAGCAGGTATATCCACCATACCAGCTGGAATATTGACCACATCAGCAGGTATATTGACTACATCAGCAGGTGTATTGACCACATCAGCAGGTATATTGACTACATCAGCAGGTGTATCCACCATACCAGCTGGAATATTGACCTCATCAGCAGGTATATTGACCAGATGTTGTGACCCGTCCACAGACGCGCCGGTGTGTGCCCCGGGTCAGGTGACGACGTACGGCGTCGCCCGTGACGAGGACGCCGAGGTGACGTGTCGGGTGGCGGCCAACCCGACGGCCGACACGTTCAAGTGGACGTTCAACAACACGGCCGACACCATAGACGTCCCCGCCGGCAGGTTCACGTCCGCTCCCACCTACAGCATCATCACCTACACCCCCGTGACCGAGCTCGATTACGGCACGCTCCTCTGCTGGGCCACCAACCTTATTGGTCAGCAGACCAGACCTTGTGTCTTCCATATTGTACCTGCAGGTAGGTTAGTGGGTATTATATACTGTTTATCTCTGTGTCTCTCTGTCTGTCTGTTTGTCTCTCTGTCTGTCTCTCTCTCTCTCTCTCTCTCTCTCTCTCTCTCTCTCTCTCTCTCTCTCTCTCTCTCTCTCTCTCTCTCTCTCTCTCTCTCTCTCCCTCTCCCTCTCTCTCTCTCTCCCTCTCCCTCTCTCCCTCTCCATGTTCTCCATCATCAGGCAGGACAGAGCCGTCCACACCCTCGGACGACAGGTCAATATAGTGCCATTGGTCTCATGACCCTCGGGGCCTCAGCATCACCATCCATCACTGTCACAGAGATGCTGGGAGGCTCCATCGTCTCCTCTCACTATCACAGAGATGCTGGGAGGCTCCATCATCTCCTCTCACTATCACAGAGATGCTGGGAGGCTGCACCATCTCCTCTCACTATCACAGAGATGCTGGGAGGCTGCACCATCTCCTCTCACTATCACAGAGATGCTGGGAGGCTGCACCATCTCCTCTCACTATCACAGAGATGCTTGGAGGCTTCATCATCTCCTCTCACTATTACAGAGATGCTGGGAGGCTTCATCATCTCCTCTCACTATCACAGAGATGCTGGGAGGCTACACCATCTCCTCTCACTATCACAGAGATGTTGGGAGGCTCCACCATCTCCTCTCACTATCACAGAGATGCTGGGAGGCTACACCATCTCCTCTCACTATCACAGAGATGCTGGGAGGCTCCACCATCTCCTCTCACTATCACAGAGATGCTGGGAGGCTCCACCATCTCTTCTCACTATCACAGAGATGCTGGGAGGCTGCACCATCTCCTCTCACTATCACAGAGATGCTGGGAGCCTGCACCATCTCCTCTCACTATCACAGAGATGCTGGGAGGCTGCACCATCTTCTCTCACTATCACAGAGATGCTGGGAGGCTGCACCATCTTCTCTCACTATCACAGAGATGCTGGGAGGCTGCACCATCTCCTCTCACTATCTTAACTCACTATTTATTCCCTAATTTTCCTTTATCACTTATTGTCTGTAATTCCAAAGAGAACTGAGCCCAATAGGCTCAGGAATCTGTACACCAGTTGATTGACGGTTGAGAGGCGGGACCAAAGAGCCGAAGGTCAACCCCTCACAAGCATAATTTGATGAGTGCAATTAGGTGAGTACTCGCAAAGATATACGCCGTTTTAAAATTGTAATAATTTCAAAGCGTTATATGACAAAGAGTGCTGGGAAGACGGAACACCACGAGCGTAACTCTCATACTTTAACTACACTTAGGTAATTATTACACACACACACACACACACACACACACACACACACACACACACACACACACACACACACACACACACACACACACACACACACACACACACACACACGCACACACACACACACACACACACACACACACACACACACACACACACACACACACACACACACACACACACACACACACACACACACACACACAGAGATGTTAGGAATGTACAGAGATGTTAGGAAGTTTTCTTTTAGCGTGAGAGTAGTAGAAAAATGGAATGCACTTGGGGAACAGGTTGTGGAAGCAAATACTATTCATACTTTTAAAGCTAGGTATGATAGGGAAATGGGACAGGAGTCATTGCTGTAAACAACCGATAGCTAGAAAGGCGGGATCCAAGAGTCAATGCTCGATCCTGCAAGCACATATAGGTGAGTACATATAGGTGAGTACACACACACACACACACACACTCGCGCGCACACACACAGGAACAACACAAATAAAGGACTAAGGAGAGACAAGTCTACAAGGACCCCACCACAACAGGCAGGAGGAACACAGTTGTACCCACTACCCCCCACCAAACCCCCCCCCCCCAGCCCCTCCTCCCTCCTCCATAACTACCCATTTTCTACCTCATTGATTCCTAACAACACCCCTACCCCCCCCCTTACCAATTACCTCACTAATAATCTATAACATATATTTCTCGTTTCCAAGAATGACCTCGGGGATTGAGCCCAGGAAACTCTTCCTTGAGCCACTATTAGAGTTCTAAGCAAGATGCCAACAATTAATCATGAGAGGATTGGGTAGACTTCATTTTCTTGAATTGTCAGAAAGCTTTTGACGCCATTCGTCTCAAGCAACTCCCATGCAAATTACAAACAAAACAAGCTGGTGTATCAGGAAGATTACTAGAGCGGATGAAGGAATACTTCTCAGGGGAAAAGATCAAGACTCATAGAAGGAGAACGAGCGGAGTACCTCAAGGGCAGGTATTAGGGGCTATCATCTTCCTAATATGTGTATAAGATCTGACAGAGGAAGTAAGATCATTCTTATTGGTGTTTGCTGATGACGCTAAGATAATGAGGTGAGTTAGAAGTGAGGAGGAGTGTAGTATTTCTATTTCAAGATAGACTAGACAATATTCGGAACAGGTCTGAGAAAATGGCTTCTAGACTTTAACCCTGACAAATGCAAGGTTATTAAGATAGAAAGTGAATCAAGATGACCTCAAATAGAGTTCAGGATGAAGGGCAGACAGCTTCCAACTTGAAAACAAAGAGAAAGCCTTAAGAGTGGATATAACTGGATATCTAACACTACAGGCAGACATCAGCAGGATAACGAGGGCAGGATATGCCATACTGGTGAACGTCTCGTTATCCTATATTATATTTATATTTATGATGTCATGTTGGTTGTAAAGCTCCTCATGATATCATGTGGTTGTAAAGCCCCTCATGATATCATGTGGTTGTAAAGCCCCTCATGATATCATGTGGTTGTAAAGCTCCTCATGATATCATGTGGTTGTAAAGCTCCTCATGATATCATGTGGTTGTAAAGCCCCTCATGATATCATGTTGGGTGTAAAGCCCCTCATGATATCATGTGGTTGTAAAGCCCCTCATGATATCATGTTGGTTGTAAAGCTCCTCAAGATATCATGTGGTTGTAAAGCCCCTCATGATATCATTCTGGTTGTAAAATAAGACTCGGTGTATGTCTGTATATGCAAAGACATTCGAAAGTACATTGTATAATGATGTACTAAATAATTTATGAATTTATCAAAGCATCAAAAACACGTCAATAAACTCTGGCCCCATAACTACAGCTGGGCTAACAAGCAGCTTAAGAAACTCCTCAACTCTTGAGACAATTAGATAACACATAGCGTCATTGTTAGCGACGCTATCTACTCTATAATACAATATAAGTTATAATACTCTATAACTACTCTATGAGGATTAGGTAGTTACCAGCGGGAAGCTCTGAACCACCGTCACCACGAAGCACTGGCACCGGACATGAGGGGACTGAGTGTTAGGACGTTGAAAAAAAGGACAATTAACAAAAGTTTGAATCCTCGAGGCTCGAACTCGGATCACTAAGAACGCCAACTGTCCCTGAACCGACTCCGAAGGGAACTATCAGGGGGGAAAGTGTCAAGTCGTTACGATTATCACTGGGAAGGGGGTCAGGATAAGGATTTGGGATGGGACGGGCGGAAAGGAATGGTGGCCAACCATTTGGACGGTCGGGGATTGAACGCTGACCTGATAGAAGCGAGACTGTCGCTCTACCGTCCAGTAGCTCGCCTGGTGGCTGTGTTGAGCAGGAGGGGGGGGGGTTATATCCCCTGTGCTGAGCAGGAGAGTTCTCCCCCTGTGTTGAGCAGGAGAGTTCTCCCCCTGTGTTGAGCAGGAGAGTTCTCCCCCTGTGTTGAGCATGAGAGTCCTCCCCCTGTGTTGAGCAGGAGAGTTCTCCCCCTGTGTTGAGCAGGAGAGTTCTCCCCCTGTGTTGAGCAGGAGAGTTCTCCCCCTGTGTTGAGCAGGAGAGTTCTCCCCCTGTGTTGAGCAGGAGAGTTCTCCCCCTGTGTTGAGCAGGAGAGTTCTCCCCCTGTGTTGAGCAGGAGAGTTCTCCCCCTGTGTTGAGCAGGAGAGTTCTCCCCCTGTGTTGAGCCTGTGTTGAGCAGGAGAGTTCTCCCCCTGTGTTGAGCAGGAGAGTTCTCCTCCCCCTGTGTTGAGCAGGAGAGTTCTCCCCCTGTGTTGAGCAGGAGAGTTCTCCCCCTGTGTTGAGCAGGAGAGTTCTCCCCCTGTGTTGAGCAGGAGAGTTCTCCCCCTGTGTTGAGCAGGAGAGTTCTCCCCCTGTGTTGAGCAGGAGAGTTCTCCCCCTGTGTTGAGCAGGAGAGTTCTCCCCCTGTGTTGAGCAGGAGAGTTCTCCCCCTGTGTTGAGCAGGAGAGTTCTCCCCCTGTGTTGAGCAGGAGAGTTCTCCCCCTGTGTTGAGCAGGAGAGTTCTCCCCCTGTGTTGAGCAGGAGAGTTCTCCCCCTGTGTTGAGCAGGAGAGTTCTCCCCCTGTGTTGAGCAGGAGAGTTCTCCCCCTGTGTTGAGCAGGAGAGTTCTCCCCCTGTGTTGAGCAGGAGAGTTCTCCCCCTGTGTTGAGCAGGAGAGTTCTCCCCCTGTGTTGAGCAGGAGAGTTCTCTGTGTTGAGCAGGAGAGTTCTGTGTTGAGCAGGAGAGTTCTCCCCCTGTGTTGAGCAGGAGAGTTCTCCCCCTGTGTTGAGCAGGAGAGTTCTCCCCCTGTGTTGAGCAGGAGAGTTCTCCCCCTGTGTTGAGCAGGAGAGTTCTCCCCCTGTGTTGAGCAGGAGAGTTCTCCCCCTGTGTTGAGCAGGAGAGTTCTCCCCCTGTGTTGAGCAGGAGAGTTCTCCCCCTGTGTTGAGCAGGAGAGTTCTCCCCCTGTGTTGAGCAGGAGAGTTCTCCCCCTGTGTTGAGCAGGAGAGTTCTCCCCCTGTGTTGAGCAGGAGAGTTCTCCCCCTGTGTTGAGCAGGAGAGTTCTCCCCCTGTGTTGAGCAGGAGAGTTCTCCCCCTGTGTTGAGCAGGAGAGTTCTCCCCCTGTGTTGAGCAGGAGAGTTCTCCCCCTGTGTTGAGCAGGAGAGTTCTCCCCCTGTGTTGAGCAGGAGAGTTCTCCCCCTGTGTTGAGCAGGAGAG